GTAGGAGGGTGTGTTGGTGGGTGGATGGGTTGGTAGGTGGGTGTGTTGGTGGGTGGGTAGGTGGGTGTTGGTGGGTGGATGGGTGCCATTGGGTGGGTAGGTGGGTGTGTTGGTGGGTGCGTTTCAAAATATGATTAAAAAGGATAAACATTTTACTGGTATGAATATTAAAGACAGCAGTTAAATTTGAGGGTAGCAGGTGGGTGGTTGTGGATGGATGTGACTGGGATTGAGTGGATGGGGGGTGATAACAAGATTCACTTACATCGTCTCTCACGACTTCTAACAGCAGAGATTTCAGCTCCAGGAGACTGCTGTTGATACGAGCCCTTCTCTTTTTCTCTGCTATTGGCTTGTTAATCTGTAGAAGTAAAGGTTTTTATCTGAAATTATTTTATTAAATAAACAAAATCGTTTCCTAACATGTGCAATCTTTTTTGATACGATATAAATATGATAAAGGATAACTGTGAAGTAAACCAAATATTTACAAATCAGCCTATTGAGGGTTGATTAACAAAAACGTAAAATTTTACAAATAATAATAACAAAAAATAAATAATAATAATAATAAATAAATAAATGAATAAATAAATAAATAAAAAAGATAGCAGATGTTTAACAACTGATAGAAGAAATACGTACCTTCCTATGTAAGGCGGGTTCAGCGTGCTTAGTCCGAGTTCTTGGTGGCATGACAGTAATGACAATGACGATACAATGCAGCGGTGTTGACAACAAGACAGCAGCAACAATGACAATGCAATAGCGTCAACAATGCTACAGCAGTTTCTCAGTGTCAGGGAGGGTGAACAGGATCGATTGCAGTGCAATTTGGTTACAGTGGTTGCAATAACAACAGTACAGCGTTCGTTTTCCTACTGTCAAACGCCTTTTGGGTCCTGCAGCCTGAAAGACGCGCCCCAAAATACTAAAAAAATCACTTTTTTTCAAGCTCTTCTTTCAAGGCAAAGGTATTCTTTGTAGATAAACCAACCGATGCGAAAATGTCTAACAAAAATACGGTTATTCGAAAACGACGGTTGGAATTGCTAAACGTGGCTTTCTACATGTAACAACACTAAATACCGCTTCTTTTCTGCTGGTGTCGCTGTAGCTACTTCCTCGATGATAACAGCTTTATACGTGGGACCTGCGACAACAGCGATGGTGTATCTCGCGTGACACAAAATACACACCTAGAAGGGGTCGGAAACAGCAATGTTTAGCTTTTAAAAGTGCTCTAGTCGAATACTACTTCACTCCACTCCAGTCAGGTCTAGTGTCACTTTCCAGGGGTGAGATCGACCAATAATACTCTTGAGTGACATTCGAAGGTGTCTTTGTAGATGAAGTGATCAACCAATACCTGCGTGTGAGGAGCGAAAGTGTCACTCTTTGACACCCGAGAGGGGCAGGGCGCGTATCAGTGACTGCGGCACGCGCGAAGTGTGGCGTTCTAAGGCTATGACGGTGTGTGGCGGTATTTATAGCGGTGAACGTAGACACAGGGGGGAAATATGAATAAGAAATGGGTTAACCCAAAAAGCAAATGTTGCCCACGCTGCTGCACAGATCTAAGTTACAACGCTGACGGACAAAATTACGCCATTTAACGTCACTGACTCCAGAAAGAACAGTGAGACGGCGTCTGTACTTCGGGGGGGGGGGGGGGGGGGGTTTTAAATGTACACACACACACACACACACACACACACACACGTGCCCGTGATTTTGAAGAAACATCGGTCCTGACATCCTGTAAATTATGTCACTTAGAATACAATGTTCGACAATGTTAGCATTTGAAACATGTTTCACGTTGTGCGCTCTGTCAATGCTTTGGATTTAATCTAATTTCTTTCCTTTCCTTTACTCAAATGGCCTATTTGTTTCATTTAAAATTACAAAGCCAACGTATTTTTAAAACATTAAAATAATCGTTCTTGGTATCGAAATATATTAAGTTAGCCTCTTGTATCTTTAATATTTTAACTGTAGAGGTACGCTCTAGAGGCGCATCATTTTTGCTAAAGGCACCTCAAGAATCTTCTCAAGACACACAAAAACGGCGGTATTACATTTCAGTGCATTTTAGGAGTATAACATTTAGAAAATTACTTTTTTCAACACCGATCTCGTGCCTGTTGCTAACAAAGCCTGTGTACTATACAAAACCATGACAAAAAGTCTCCCTCCGTCATCAACGTCCGCGAGAGCCTCGAGCAACTCACACCACCATGCGACAGTGCGTTTGACAAAATTTCTAAAGGGTTCCGACATTTGAGAAATTGCTCTCACGCCAGAGATAGGAGAGGGCTGAGCAGCAATAAACGTTGACAAACGAGCTACCACTGTTACGCTTATGAAGTCATCTTAACGACGCCCTGGGCTAGGAATTGATACGGAATCCCCGTGGATGGAAGTTTTATCTACAGGCGCTAGATGGCGCTATGCTACAAAGAACCTTTCTCTCTCACGCTCTCTCTCTCTTTTGGTCAAGAAACAACCTGGTTTTTATTTAATTTTCCTCTTCTATTATTATCATTCATTTATTTATTTGTTTAATAAATGTAGTTGAAATTTAATTCACAGATATGTATGCATATCTATAAAAAAGCTGCCCCTAGTGAAGAACTGAAAGGAGTAGACCCTATCTAATATACAGGAGTGTTGGTTTGGGTCAACAGATGGCGGTATGATAGCGCTATTGGGAACTCCAGTTTGTCCAATTGTGTGTGTGAGAGAGAGGGAGAGAGAGAGGGAGAGAGAGTGTGTGTGTGTATGTGTGTGTGTATGTGTGTGTGTGTGTGACATACCTGGTGAGATGTTGCTAGCGTCTCCACCCTGTTATCAATGACAACCATCCGAGATGGCAACAAAGTCTCACGACTCACGAGCATAACATCTAGTGAGGTTCAGCAGGATTTGAAGGAGTTTGTGCCGAGTCATAAAATGTAGATGAGCGAGTTAGTGAGCCCGGTGTACCATGAAAATTTGACTCCCCTAAAATGTGACTCCCCAGTCAGATTTTCATTATGAAAATCTGACTCCCCAGTCAGATTTTCATAATGAAAATCTGACTCCCCCTANGTGGAGGGGGAGTCAAATTTTCATGGGGGGAGTCAGATTTTCATTATGAAAATCTGACTGGGGAGTCACATTTTCATAATGAAAATCTGACTGGGGAGTAACATTTTCATGGGAGTCATATTTTCATGTTACACCGGTACAACAACAGATGCATGTGTAAGCTAACATTTGGGGCATGTTCAACCACGGATATTTCTGTGGTCATTTCCTCTTCCGTTCTGACTAGTTAGAGTTTATAGCACAGCAGTACGGATTCAATACGTTTTGCGTGCTACTTCTTTATTCTTTACTAAGACAGCATACACTGTGCATAGATTATCATGCCCTAAACACTACCATAATTTCGCACCTTTACCGATCCAGTAACTTATAACTCTCGTTTTATTTTGTATGATTTCATGTCATATGAATACCTGCATATGAAATAAATCATTCCCAGATGTTAGTTTATTTTTATTGTGCTAGTTCATTAAAATAAGTTTAAGATGTCAAACAAATCTCTTCTGTCCATTAATTGATTGTCAAAACTTCACTAAGGATCTTAGAAATGAGATAAGACATCTAACTAGGAGCGTTTCGAGCAGGCCTATCAATGAAAGCGATCGAACTTGAATTGATTCAGTAGCTTTTCCGGTATAACAGCACGTCATACCACCTGTTTACCGTGTTCAGCGGAAAAACGATATCATCTCGGAGGAATTATTTACCAATTATGTTTTACTCAAAATTTCCATGGCTGCAATTGCTGAAATAAAATTCACACCAGTAATTACACATTTGAATGCTTTTTATTACCTCTTTTAAGGGACTAGCTAAAACTAAATCCACCTGTTGTTAACCGCCTTTGATCCCATTGTAATCTTTAATATCAAAGGTAAAGCCTAAATTAATCTCGGGTTTTCAAAGACGGTCTCCTGTACATCATAAACTTTCCCGTGCATGATAAACCATGGTCGTGGACTGGGGTTGCGTGGGATGAAATACGGCACCCGGATTATCGACAGGGATAGCAGATATATACATATACATCCAATCTGGCCGTCTCGTGACAAGGTTGAAAGTTTCCATCTGATCACCTCATGTCAACGTAGCTGCCGTGGCTCCGTGGTATCTCTGCTGCCTAGGACACAGGCAGTAACTTGTGCGCTGGTTCAAGCCCCAGTCGATGAAATGTCATTTTTTTTTTGCCAGAATTCAATTTTAAACATTGCGATTGGTTACTTTAAGAGGAAACTTGTACGTAAGGAGGGTGGGCGGGTCAGTCACGGCGCAGTCGGTAGCGTGCATGGATGCAAATGAAGAAACCAAAGCGTCATCAACCATGGTAACACAAAGTCACGAGTTCGAATCCCGGATGAGGCACGTCAGTAGTCCACAACGACAACGACCGGGCCCCTGATACGGGATGTCGCGAGAACGAGCGAGAACGAATGTGGGTCCTAGCAAATTACCTTTTGAATAAAAATACGGTATGCTACTCAAAAGAACCATCATGTGATCGAATTAAAACGCCATTAGCATAAAGTCTGCGTCGTCAATAATATTTCTTTTATTGGTGCTGACGTGGAAATTGTCATCGTGTGTACTCCATTTCATCAAAATGGGTAATGCTTTCTTTGTGGGATTATCAGAGAGAATTTTTTAACTTTTTTATTTTTTACAAAAGTCGCGTCGACTCTATTGCTTGAAACAGGCATATATTTCCTCTTTTCATGCCCCTCCTTNATGTGATCGATTTAAAACGCCATTAGCATTAAGGCTGCGTCGTCAATAATATTTCTTCTATTGGTGCAGACGTGGAAATTGTCATCGTGTGTACTCCATTTCATCAAGATGGGTAATGTTTTCTTTGTGGGATTATCAGAGAGAATTTTTTAACTTTTTATTTTTTACAAAAGTCGCGTCGACTCTATTGCTTGAAACAGGCATATATTTCCTCTTTTCATGCCCCTCCTTTCCTGTCTTGGGCCCTTGTTTCTCAAGACTTTTCATATCATCATACAATACCCGAGGCAAGTCCGCAGTCGACATTTGAAAGAGTAAACACTACTCAATACTAAAACCGCCCAGTTGTGAACAGCCGTGGACTTCATCGTGCTCTATAACGTCAAAGGTGAAACCAAACATTATCTCAGTGCAAAACAAAATGAAAATAAAAACATCTGAAGTCATCTAACTAGGAACATTCCGAGCAGGCCTATCAATAAAAGCGATCGAACTTGATTTGTTTGAGTAGCTTTTCCGGTATAACAGCACGTCATGCATACCACCTGTTTACCGCGTTCAGCGGAAAAACGATATCATCTCGGCGGAATTATTTACCAATCATGTTTTACTCAAAATTCCCAATTTATTTCTTAAATGAAAATCGCACCAGTAATTACACAGTTGTATTTTTTTTATTCCCTCTTCTAAAGGACTAGCTAAAAGTGAATCACGCCTGTTCTTAACCGCTTTTGATCCCGTTGTACTCTTTAATATCATAGGTAAAGCCTAAATTAATCTAATATAAAGGAATCTCCGAGCTCCGTGTCGGGTTTTCAAAGACGGTCACCTGTACATCATAAACTTTCCCGTTCATGATAAACCATGGTCGTGGACTGGGGTTGCGTGGGATGAAATACGGCACCCCGATTATCGATAGGGATAGCAGATATATACATATACATCCAATCTGGCCGTCTCGTGACAAGGTTGAAAGTTTCCATCTGATCACCTCATGTCAACGTAGCTGCCGTGGCTCCGTGGTAACTCTGCTGCCTAGGACACAGGCAGTAACTTGTGCGCTGGTTCGAGCCCCAGTCGATGAAATGTCATCTTTTTTTGCCAGAATTCAATTTTAAAAATTGCGATTGGTTACTATAAGAGGAAACTTGTACGTAAGGAGGGTGGGCGGGTCAGTCACGGCGCAGTCGGTAGCGTGCATGGATGCAAATGAAGAAACCAAAGCGTCATCAACCATGGTAACACAAAGTCACGAGTTCGAATCCCGGATGAGGCACGTCAGTAGTCCACAACGACAACGACCGGGCCCCTGATACGGGATGTCGCGAGAACGAGCGAGAACGAATGTGGGCCCTCGTGGGTCCTAGCAAATTCCCTTTTGAATAAAAATACGGTATGCTACTGAAAGTAACCATTATGTGATCGATTTAAAACGCCATTAGCATAAAGTCTGCGTCGTCAATAATATTTCTTCTATTGGTGCTGACGTAGAAATTGTCATCGTGTGTACATCATTTCATCAAAATGGGTAATGTTTTCTTTGTGGGATTATCAGAGAGAATTTTTTAAATTTTTATTTTTTACAAAAGTCGCGTCGCCTCTATTGCTTTAAACAGGCATATATTTCCTCTTTTCATGTCCTTCCTTTCCTGTCTTGGGCCCTTGTTTCTCAAGACTGTTCATATCATCATACAATACCCGGGGCAAGTCCGCAGTCGACATTTGAAAGAGTAAACACTACTCAATATTAAAACCGCCCAGTTGTGAACAGCCGTGGACTTCATCGTGCTCTATAACGTCAAAGGTGAAACCAAACATTATCTCAGTGCAAAACAAAATGAAAATAAAAGCATTTAAACTCATCTAACAAGGAACATTCCGAGCAGGCCTATCAATAAAAGCGATCGAACTTGAATTGGTTGAGTAGCTTTTCCGGTATAACAGCACGTCATGCTAACCACTTGTTTACCGTGTTCAGCGGAAAAACGATATCATCTCGGCGGAATTATTTAGCAATCATGTTTTACTCAAAATTCCCAATTTATTTCTTAAATGAAAATCGCACCAGTAATTACACATTTGTAGTTGTTTTTTATTCCCTCTTCTAAAGGACTAGCTAAAACTAAATCACGCCTGTTCTTAACCGCTTTTGATCCCGTTGTACTCTTTAATATCATAGGTAAAGCCTAAATTAATCTAATATAAAGGAATCTCCGAGCTCCGTGTCGGGTTTTCAAAGACGGTCTCCTGTACATCATAAGTTTTTCCCGGTCGATTTAAAACGCCATGGTCGTGGACTGGGGTTGCGTGGGATGAAATAGGGCACCCGGATTATCGATAGGGATAGCAGATATATACATATACATCCAATCTGGTCGTCTCCGTGACAAGGTTGAAAGTTTCCATCTGATCATCTCATGTCAACGTAGCTGCCGTGGCTCCGTGGTAACTCTGCTGCCTAGGACACAGGCAGTAACTTGTGCGCTGGTTCGAGCCCCAGTTGATGAAATGTCATTTTTTTTGCCAGAATTCAATTTTAAAAATTGCGATTGGTTAATATAAGAGGAAACTTGTACGTAGGGAGGGTGGGTCAGTCACGGCGCAGTCGGTAGCGTGCATGGATGCAAATGAAGAAACCAAAGCGTCATTAACCATGGTAACACAAAGTCACGAGTTCGAATCCCGGATGAGGCACGTCAGTAGTCCACAACGACAACGACCGGGCCCCTGATTCGGGATGTCGCGAGAATGAGCGAGAACGAATGTGGGCTCTCGTGGGTCCTAGCAAATTACCTTTTGCATAAAAATAGGGTATGCTACTGAAAGTTACCATGAAGTGATCGTTTTAAAACGCCATTAGCATAAAGTCTGAGAGATCAATAACATTTCTTCTGTTGGTGCTGATTTGGAAATTGTCATTGACCTTCGTCCTTTATTACGAGCTCCGTGTGTACTCCATTTCATCAAACTGGGTTTTCTTTTCTTTGTGGGATTATCAGAGAGAATCTTTTAAATATTCATTTTTTACAAAAGTGGCGTCGCCTCTATTGCTTTAAACAGGCATATATTTCCTCTTTTCATGCCCCTCCTTTCCTGTCTTGGGCCCTTGTTGCTCAAGATTGTTCATATCATCATACAATATCCGGGGCAAGTCCGAAGTCGACATTTGAAAGAGTAAACATTACTCAATTCTAAAACCGCCCAGTTGTGAACAGCCGTGGACTTCATCGTGCTCTATAACGTCAAAGGTGAAACCAAACATTATCTCAGTGCAAAACAAAATGAAAATAAAGGCATCTGAAGTCATCTAACTAGGAACGTTCCGAGCGGGCCTATCAATAAAAGCGATCGATCTTGAATTGATTGAGTAGCTTTTCCGGTATAACAGCACGTCATGCATACCACCTGTTTACCGTGTTCAGCGGAAAAACGATATCATCTCGGCGGAATTATTTAGCAATCATGTTTTACTCAAAATTCCCAATTTATTTCTTAAATGAAAATCGCACCAGTAATTACACATTTGAATGTTTTTTTATTCATGTTTATTTATTTAAATTTATGTTTTTTTATGATGAACTTACGTGCTCAACCGTTTTAACCGAAACCTTTAACATTGCCCCTCAAGATAATGCCGTGTACTCAGTCCCTTGTACATATATGCAAATATTTCATTAAAATGTCCAAAATCAACACTGTATGTTAAAATACTGGATGTATTCTTTAAAATGCTCGTATACTTCATCTTTCGTAAGGCCATATTTACTTAAATCATATTTGTGGCGGCCATGTTTGTTTTGCGGGTTTTCCTGGACGTATCTCTCCATTCTCTCTCTCCCGTAATTGGTTAAATTCAGGCCAAAGTGCCCGTATATCCGCTTTACAATATCCATTGGTGACGCTACCAGTTCGGCATAGGCTATGTCAATAAACCGGTGCTCTTCCTCGGGGTGATCCTTTCTGAACTTCAATATTTCCTTTCCGCCGTGGCCCCAAGGGAAGTAGAGTAACTCCTGGAATGAAGTTTTTTCAATTGTACTAAATCAAAAATTGAATCAATAAACTGATATTTAAACCTAGTTTACATTTGCCCTGGGCGCCGCACGAAGAAAACATATACGAATTTCTGTACGATTTTTGACACCGTAAGGACTACGGCGTTTACATTATCTGCGGGCGCTGTGCCGTTTTTCCAACATGACCTTGATGTCACAAGGGGAAAAGTCGGTTTTCAGCTGAAAAGTGATCGTACGGAGCCTTTTCAGTATTATATTAGTGCTGCTGACGCACGTCTTCCGTGTGGTTTCTTTGAAGAGTCAGCAGCATGCGGTTTTTTCATCCACTTGGTCAAAACTCACAATTTCAAATTTATGCAAGTGAATTACACAAAGTTGCAAACATCTTTACTATCGTTATGTTGCCTCCTAAACCACCATAGAAGGAAAGAAGAGAGACCAAAAACAGGTTCAACCATTATCACCATCATCGCAAGTCCACTGCACAAAGCTACGGTCTACGGTTTCAAAAATTTGTGAAAAGTTTTAGCTCGAAAAAAAGCGTAGAGGCTAGTAAGGCCATGAATCTGTACGATTTTATACGATTTCGTACGTCCAACGCCTGCCTCGATCCGCACAGACAAAGCACCNGTAGGTGGGTGTGTTGGTGGGTGCGCTTCAAAATATGATTAAAAATGATAAACATTTTACTGATATGAATATTAAAGACAGCAGTCAAATTTGAGGGTAGCAGATGGGTGGTTGTGGATAGATGTGGCTGGGATTGAGTGGATGGGGGGTGATAACAAGATTCACTTACATCGTCTCTCACTACTTCTAACAGCAGAGATTTCAGCTCCAGGAGACTGCTGTTGATACGAGCCCTTCTCTTCTTCTCTGCTATTGGCTTGTTAATCTGTAGAAGTAAAGGTTTTTATCTGAAATTATTTTATTAAATAAACAAAATCGTTTCCTAACATGTGCAATATTTTTTGATACGATATAAATATGATAAAGGATAAATGTGAAGTAAACCAAATATTTACAAATCAGCCTATTGAGGGTTGATTAACAAAAACGTAAAATTTTACAAATAATAATAACAAAAAATAAAGAGAGAAAGAAACGAATAAATAAATAAATAAATAAATAAATAAATAAATAAATAAATAAATAAAAAAGATATCAGATGTTTAACAACTGATAGAAGAAATACGTACCTTCCTATGTAAGGCGGGTTCAGCGTGCATAGTCCGAGTTCTTGGTGGCATGACAGTAATGACAATGACGATACAATGCAGCGGTGTTGACAACAAGACAGCAGCAACAATGACAATGCAATAGCGTCAACAATGTTACAGCAGTTTCTCAGTGTCAGGGAGGGCACAACAGGATCAATTGCAGTGCAATTTGGTTACAGTGGTTGCAACAACAACAGTGCAGCGTTCGTTTTCCTACTGTCAAACGCCTTTTAGGTCCTGCAGCCTGAAAGAAGTGCCCCAAAATACTAAAAAAATCACTTTTTTTCAAGCTCTTCTTTCAAGGCAAAGGTATTCTTTGTAGATAAACCAACCGATGCGAAAATGTCTAACAAAAATACGGTTATTCGAAAACGACGGTTGGAATTGCTAAACGTGGCTTTCTACATGTAACAACACTAAATACCGCTTCTTTTCTGCTGGCGTCACAGTAGCTACTTCCTCGATGATAACAGCTTTATACGTGGGACCTGCGACAACAGCGATGGTGTATCTCGCGTGACACAAAATACACACCTAGAAGGGGTCGGAAACAGCAATGTTTAGCTTTTAAAAGTGCTCTAGTCGAATACTACTTCACTCCACTCCAGTCAGGTCTAGTGTCACTTTCCACTGGTGAGACCGACCAATAATACTCTTGACTGACATTCGAAGGTGTCTTTGTAGATGAAGTGATCAACCAATACCTGCGTGTGAGGATCGAAAGTGTCACTCTTTGACACCCGAGAGGGGCAGGGCGCGTATCAGTGACTGCGGCACGCGCGAAGTGTGGCGTTCTAAGGCTATGACGGTGTGTGGCGGTATTTATAGCAGTGAACGTAGACACAGGGGGGAAATATGAATAAGAAATGGGTTAACCCAAAAAGCAAATGTTGCCCACACGTTGCGTAGGGCTTATATGTACACGTTGCTGCACAGATCTAAGTTACAACGCTGACGGACAAAATTACGCCATTTAACGTCACTGACTCCAGAAAGAACAGTGAGACGGCGTCTGTACTTCGGGGGGGGGGGGGGGGGTTCTTAAAATGTGCACACTCACGCACACACACACACACACACACACACACACACACGTGCCCGTGATTTTGAAGCAACAGCGGTCCTGACATCCTGTAAATTATGTCACTTATTAGAATACAATGTTCGACAATGTTAGCATTTGAAACATGTTTCACGTTGTGCGCTCTGTCAATGCTTTGGATTTAATCTAATTTCTTTCCTTTCCTTTACTCAAATGGCCTATTTGTTTAATTTAAAATGACAAAGCCAACGTATTTTTAAAACATCAAAATAATCGTTTTTGGTGTCGAAATATATTAAGTTAGCCTCTTTTATCTTTAATATTTTAACTGTAGAGGTACGTGCTAGAGGCGCATCATTTTTGCTAAAGGCACCTCAACAATCTTCTCAAGACACACAAAAACGGCGGTATTACTTTTCAGTGCATTTTAGGAGTATAACATTTAGAAAATTACTTTTTTCAACACCGATCTCGTGCCTGTTGCTAACAAAGCCTGTGTACTATACAAAACCATGACAAAAAGTCTCCCTCCGTCATCAACGTCCGCGAGAGCCTCGAGCAACTCACACCACCATGCGACAGTGCGTTTGATAAAATTTCTAAAGGGTTCCGACATTTGAGAAATTGCTCTCACGCCAGAGATAGGAGAGGGCTGAGCAGCAATAAACGTTGACAAACGAGCTACCACTGTTACGCTTATGAAGTCATCTTAACGACGCCCTGGGCTAGGAATTGATACGGAATCCCCGTGGATGGAAGTTTTATCTACAGGCGCTAGATGGCGCTATGCTACAAAGAACCTTTCTCTCTCACGCTCTCTCTCTCTTTTGGTCAAGAGACAACCTGGTTTTTATTTCATTTTCCTCTTCTATTATTATCATTCATTCATTCATTTATTTATTTGTTTAATAAATGTAGTTGAAATTTAATTCACAGATATGTATGCATATCTATAAAAAAGCTGCCCCTAGTGAAGAACTGAAAGGAGTAGACCCTATCTAATATACAGGAGTGTTGGTTTGGGTCAACAGATGGCGGTAGGATAGCACTATTGGGAACTCCAGTTTGTCCAATTGTGTGTGTGAGAGAGAGGGAGAGAGAGAGGGAGAGAGAGAGTGTGTGTGTGTGTGTGTGTGTGTGTGTGAGCGTGTGTGCATGTTTGTGTGTGAACGTGTGTGTATGTGTGTGTGTGTGACATACCTGGTGAGATGTTGCTAGCGTCTCCACCCTGTTATCAATGACAACCATCCGAGATGGCAACAAAGTCTCACGACTCACGAGCATAACATCTAGTGAGGCTCAGCAGGATTTGAAGGAGAGTGTGCAGAGTCATAAAATGTAGATGAGCTAGTTAGTGAGCCCGGTGCAACAACAGATGCATGTGTAAGCTAACATTTGGGGCATGTTCAACCACGGATATTTCTGTGGTCATTTCCTCTTCCGTTCTGACTAGTTAGAGTTTATAGCACAGCAGTACGGATTCAGTACGTTTTGCGTGCCACTTCTTTATTCTTTACTAAGACAGCATACACTGTGCATAGATTATCATGCCCTAAACACTACCATAATTTCGCACCTTTACCGATCCAGTAACTTATAACTCTCGTTTTATTTTGTATGATTTCATGTAAAATGAATACTTGCATATGAAATAAATCATTCCCGGATATTAGTTTATTTTTATTGTGCTAGTTCATTTAAATAATTTTAAGATGTCGAAAAAATCTCTTCTGCCCATTTATTGATTGTCAAAACTTCACTAAGGATTTAAGAAATGAGATAAGACATCTAACTAGGAGCGTTTCGAGCAGGCCTATCAATGAAAGCGATCGAACTTGAATTGATTCAATAGCTTTAACGGTATAACAGCACGTCATACCACCTGTTTACCGTGTTCAGCAGAAAAAACGATATCATCTCGGCGGAATTATTTACCAATCATGTTTTACTCAAAATTTCCATCGCTGCAATAGCTGAAATAAAAATCACACCAGTAATTACACAGTTGAATGCTTTTTATTCCCTCTTTTAAGGAACTAGCTAAAACCAAATAACGCCTGTTGTTATCCGCCTTTGATCCCATTGTAATCTTAAATATCAAAGGTAAAGCCTAAATTAAGCATAAAAGAATCTCTGAGCTCCGTGTCGGGTTTTCAAAGACGGTCTCCTGTACATCATAAACTTTCCCGTTCAATATAAACCATGTTCGTGGACTAACTAGGAATGTTCCGAGCAGGCCTATGAATAAAAGCGATCGAACTTGAATTGATTGAGTAGCTTTTCCGGTATACATCCAATCTGGGCGTCTCGTGACAAGGTTGAAAGTTTCCTTCTGATCATCTCATGTCAACGTAGCTGTCGTGGCTCCGTGGTAACTCTGCTGCCTAGGACACAGGCAGCAACTTGTGCGCTGGTTCGAGCCCCAGTTGTTGAAATGTCATTTTTTTTTTTTTTTTTGCCAGAATTCAATTTTAAAAATTGCGATTGGTTAATATAAGAGGAAACTTGTACGTAAGGAGGATGGGTGGGTCAGTCACGGCGCAGTCGGTAGCGTGCTTGGATGCAAATAAAGAAACCAAAGCGTCATCAACCATGGTAACACAGAGTCACGAGTTCGAATCCTGGATGAGGCACGTCAGTAGTCCACAACGACCGGGCCCCTGATACGGGATGTCGCGAGAACGAGCGAGAACGAATGTGGGCTCTCGTGGGTCTTAGCAAATTACCTTTTGAATAAAAATACGGTATGCTACTGAAAGTTACCATCATGTGATCGATTTAAAACGCCATTAGCATTAAGGCTGCGTCGTCAATAATATTTCTTCTATTGGTGATGACGTGGAAATTGTCATCGTGTGTACTCCATTTCATCAAAATGGGTAATGTTTTCTTTGTGGGATTATCAGAGAGAATTTTTTAAATTTTTATTTTTTACAAAAGTCGCGTCGCCTCTATTGCTTTAAACAGGCATATATTTCCTCTTTTCATGCCCCTCCTTTCCTGTCTTGGGCCCTTGTTTCTCAAGACTGTTCATATCATCATACAATACCCGGGGCAAGTCCGCAGTCGACATTTGAAAGAGTAAACACTACTCAATACTAAAACCGCCCAGTTGTGAACAGCTGTGGACTTCATCGTGCTCTATAACGTCAAAGGTGAAACCAAACATTATCTCAGTGCAAAACAAAATGAAAATAAAAGCATCTGAAGTCATCTAACTAGGAACGTTCCGAGCAGGCCTATCAATAAAAGCGATCGATCTTGAATTGATTGAGTAGCTTTTCCGGTATAACAGCACGTCATGCATACCACCTGTTTACCGTGTTCAGCGGAAAAACGATATCATCTCGGCGGAATTATTTACCAATCATGTTTTACTCAAAATTCCAAATTTATTTCTTAAATGAAAATCGCACCAGTAATTACGCAGTTGTATTTTTTTTTATTATTCCCTCTTCTAAAGGACTAGCTAAAAGTGAACCACGCCTGTTCTTAATCGCTTTTGATCCCGTTGTACTCTTTAATATCATAGGTAAAGCCAAAATTAATCTAATATAAAGGAATCTCCGAGCTCCGTGTCGGGTTTTCAAAGACGGTCACCTGTACATCATAAACTTTCCCGTTCATGATAAACCATGGTCGTGGACTGGGGTTGCGTGGGATGAAATACGGCACCCCGATTATCGATAGGGATAGCAGATATATACATATACATCCAATCTGGGCGTCTCGTGACAAGGTTGAAAGTTTCCTTCTGATCATCTCAAGTCAACGTAGCTGCCGTGGCTCCGTGGTAACTCTGCTGCCTAAGACACAGGCAGTAACTTGTGCGCTGGTTCGAGCCCCAGTCGATAAAATGTCATTTTTTTATTTGCCAGAATTCAATTTTAAAAATTGCGATTGGTTAGTTTAAGAGGAAACTTGTACGTAGGGAGGGTGGGCGGTTCAGTCACGGCGCAGTCGGTAGCGTGCATGGATGCAAATGAAGAAACCAAAGCGTCATCAACCATGGTAACACAAAGGCACGAGTTCGAATCTCGGATGAGCCACGTCAGTAGTCCACAACGACAACGACCGGGCCCCTGATACGGGATGTCGCGAGAACGAGCGAGAACGAATGTGAGCTCTCGTGGGTCTTAGCAAATTACCTTTTGAATAAAAATACGGTATGCTACTGAAAGTAACCATTATGTGATCGATTTAAAACGCCATTAGCATAAAGTCTGCGTCGTCAATAATATTTCTTCTATTGGTGCTGACGTAGAAATTGTCATCGTGTGTACTCCATTTCATCAAAATGGGTAATGTTTTCTTTGTGGGATTATCAGAGAGAATTTTTTAAATTTTTATTTTTTACAAAAGTCGCGTCGCCTCTATTGCTTTAAACAGGCATATATTTCCTCTTTTCATGCCCTTCCTTTCCTGTCTTGGGCCCTTGTTTCTCAAGACTGTTCATATCATCATACAATACCCGGGGCAAGTCCGCAATCGACATTTGAAAGAGTAAACACTACTCAATATTAAAACCGCCCAGTTGTGAACAGCTGTGGACTTCATCGTGCTCTATAACGTCAAAGGTGAAACCAAACATTATCTCAGTGCAAAACAAAATGAAAATAAAAGCATTTAAAGTCATCTAACTAGGAACATTCCGAGCAGGCCTATCAATAAAAGCGATCGAACTTGAATTGGTTGAGTAGCTTTTCCGGTATAACAGCACGTCATGCTAACCACTTGTTTACCGTGTTCAGCGGAAAAACGATATCATCTCGGCGGAATTATTTAGCAATCATGTTTTACTCAAAATTCCCAATTTATTTCTTAAATGAAAATCGCACCAGTAATTACACATTTGTAGTTGTTTTTTATTCCCTCTTCTAAAGGACTAGCTAAAACTAAATCACGCCTGTTCTTAACCGCTTTTGATCCCGTTGTACTCTTTAATATCATAGGTAAAGCCAAAATTAATCTAATATAAAGGAATCTCCGAGCTCCGTGTCGGGTTTTCAAAGACGGTCTCCTGTACATCATGAGTTTTTCCCGTTCGATTTAAAACGCCATGGTCGTGGACTGGGGTTGCGTGGGATGAAATAGGGCACCCGGATTATCGATAGGGATAGCAGATATATACATATACATCCAATCCGGTCGTCTCCGTGACAAGGTTGAAAGTTTCCATCTGATCATCTCATGTCAACGTAGCTGCCGTGGCTCCGTGGTAACTCTGCTGCCTAGGACCCAGGCAGTAACTTGTGCGCTGGTTCGAGCCCCAGTTGATGATATGTCATTTTTTCTGCCAGAATTCAATTTTAAAAATTGCGATTGGTTAATATAAGAGGAAACTTGTACGTAGGGAGGGTGGGTGGGTCAGTCACGGCGCAGTCGGTAGCGTGCTTGGATGCAAATGAAGAAACCAAAGCGTCATCAACCATGGTAACACAAAGGCACGAGTTCGAATCCCGGATGATGCACGTCAGTAGTCCACAACGACAACGACCGGGCCCCTGATACGGGATGTCGCGAGAACGAGCGAGAACGAATGTGGGCTCTCGTGGGTCTTAGCAAATTACCTTTTGAATAAAAATACGGTATGCTACTGAAAGTAACCATTATGTGATCGATTTAAAACGCCATAAGCATAAAGTCTGCGTCGTCAAAAATATTTCTTCTATTGGTGCTGACGTAGAAATTGTCATCGTGTGTACTCCATTTCATCAAAATGGGTAATGTTTTCTTTGTGGGATTATCAGAGAGAATTTTTTTAAATTTTTATTTTTTTACAAAAGTCGCGTCGCCTCTATTGCTTTAAACAGGCATATATTTCCTCTTTTCATGCCCTTCCTTTCCTGTCTTGGGTCCTTGTTTCTCAAGACTGTTCATATCATCATACAATACCCGGGGCAAGTCCGCAGTCGACATTTGAAAGAGTAAACACTACTCAATACTAAAACCGCCCAGTTGTGAACAGCTGTGGACTTCATCGTGCTCTATAACGTCAAAGGTGAAACCAAACATTATCTCAGTGCAAAACAAAATGAAAATAAATGCATTTAAAGTCATCTAACCAGGAACATTCCGAGCAGGCCTATCAATAAAAGCGATCGAACTTGAATTGGTTGAGTAGCTTTTCCGGTATAACAGCACGTCATGCTTACCACCTGTTTACCGTGTTCAGCGGAAAAACGATATCATCTCGGCGGAATTATTTAGCAATCATATTTTACTCAAAATTCCCAATTTATTTCTTAAATGAAAATCGCACCAGTAATTACACATTTGAATGTTTTTTTATTCATGTTTATTTATTTAAATTTATGTTTTTGTTATGATGAACTTACGTGCTCAACCGTTTTAACCGAAACCTTTAACATTGCCCCTCAAGATAATGCCGTGTACTCAGTCCCTTGTACATATATGCAAACATTTCATTAAAATGTCCAAAATCAACACTGTATGTTAAAATACTGGATGTATTCTTTAAAATGCTCGTATACTTCATCTTTCGTAAGGCCATATTTACTTAAATCATATTTGTGGCGGCCATGTTTGTTTTGCGGGTTTTCCTGGACGTATCTCTTCATTCTCTCTCTCCCGTGATTGGTTAAATTCAGGCCAAAGTGCCCGTATATCCGCTTTACAATATCCATTGGTGACGCTACCAGTTCGGCATAGGCTATGTCAATAAACCGGTGCTCTTCCTCGGGGTGATCCTTTCTGAACTTCAATATTTCTTTTCCGCCGTGGCCCCAAGGGAAGTAGAGTAACTCCTGGAATGAAGTTTTTTCAATTGTACTAAATCAAAAATTGAATCAATAAACTGATATTTAAACCTAGTTTACATTTGCCCTGGGCGCCGCACGAAGAAAACATATACGAATTTCTGTAAGATTTTTGACACCGTTAGGACTACGGCGTTTACATTATCTGCCGGCGCTGTGCCGTGTTTCCAACATGACCTTGATGTCACAAGGGGAAAAGTCGGTTTTCGGCTGAAAAGTGATCGTACGGAGCCTTTTCAGTATTAGGCCTATATTAGTGCTGCTGACGCACGTCTTCCGTGTGGTTTCTTTGAAGAGTCAGCAGCATGCGGTTTTTTCATCCACTTGGTCAAAACTCACAATTTCAAATTTATGCAAGTGAATTACACAAAGTTGCAAACATCTTTACTATCGTTATGTTGCCTCCTAAACCACCATAGAAGGAAAGAAGAGAGACCAAAAACAGGTTCAACCATTATCACCATCATCGCAAGTCCACTGCACAACGGGGAACTGTGCAAAGCAATCTATGATGAAGCTACGGTCTACGGTTTCAAAAATTTGTGAAAAGTTTTAGCTCGAAAAAAAGCGTAGAGGCTAGGCAGGCCATGAATCTGTACGATTTTATACGATTTCGTACGTCCAACGCCTGCCTCCGCACAGACAAAGCACTAAAGGCATTTACATGCAGTTTGCCAGCACTGCACGGTCATCACATGGCNAATATTTCTTCTATTGGTGCTGACGTAGAAATTGTCATCGTGTGTACTCCATTTCATCAAAATGGGTAATGTTTTCTTTGTGGGATTATCAGAGAGAATTTTTTAAATTTTTATTTTTTACAAAAGTCGCGTCGCCTCTATTGCTTTAAACAGGCATATATTTCCTCTTTTCATGCCCTTCCTTTCCTGTCTTGGGTCCTTGTTTCTCAAGACTGTTCATATCATCATACAATACCCGGGGCAAGTCCGCAGTCGACATTTGAAAGAGTAAACACTACTCAATACTAAAACCGCCCAGTTGTGAACAGCTGTGGACTTCATCGTGCTCTATAACGTCAAAGGTGAAACCAAACATTATCTCAGTGCAAAACAAAATGAAAATAAATGCATTTAAAGTCATCTAACCAGGAACATTCCGAGCAGGCCTATCAATAAAAGCGATCGAACTTGAATTGGTTGAGTAGCTTTTCCGGTATAACAGCACGTCATGCTTACCACCTGTTTACCGTGTTCAGCGGAAAAACGATATCATCTCGGCGGAATTATTTAGCAATCATATTTTACTCAAAATTCCCAATTTATTTCTTAAATGAAAATCGCACCAGTAATTACACATTTGAATGTTTTTTTATTCATGTTTATTTATTTAAATTTATGTTTTTGTTATGATGAACTTACGTGCTCAACCGTTTTAACCGAAACCTTTAACATTGCCCCTCAAGATAATGCCGTGTACTCAGTCCCTTGTACATATATGCAAACATTTCATTAAAATGTCCAAAATCAACACTGTATGTTAAAATACTGGATGTATTCTTTAAAATGCTCGTATACTTCATCTTTCGTAAGGCCATATTTACTTAAATCATATTTGTGGCGGCCATGTTTGTTTTGCGGGTTTTCCTGGACGTATCTCTTCATTCTCTCTCTCCCGTGATTGGTTAAATTCAGGCCAAAGTGCCCGTATATCCGCTTTACAATATCCATTGGTGACGCTACCAGTTCGGCATAGGCTATGTCAATAAACCGGTGCTCTTCCTCGGGGTGATCCTTTCTGAACTTCAATATTTCTTTTCCGCCGTGGCCCCAAGGGAAGTAGAGTAACTCCTGGAATGAAGTTTTTTCAATTGTACTAAATCAAAAATTGAATCAATAAACTGATATTTAAACCTAGTTTACATTTGCCCTGGGCGCCGCACGAAGAAAACATATACGAATTTCTGTAAGATTTTTGACACCGTTAGGACTACGGCGTTTACATTATCTGCCGGCGCTGTGCCGTGTTTCCAACATGACCTTGATGTCACAAGGGGAAAAGTCGGTTTTCGGCTGAAAAGTGATCGTACGGAGCCTTTTCAGTATTAGGCCTATATTAGTGCTGCTGACGCACGTCTTCCGTGTGGTTTCTTTGAAGAGTCAGCAGCATGCGGTTTTTTCATCCACTTGGTCAAAACTCACAATTTCAAATTTATGCAAGTGAATTACACAAAGTTGCAAACATCTTTACTATCGTTATGTTGCCTCCTAAACCACCATAGAAGGAAAGAAGAGAGACCAAAAACAGGTTCAACCATTATCACCATCATCGCAAGTCCACTGCACAACGGGGAACTGTGCAAAGCAATCTATGATGAAGCTACGGTCTACGGTTTCAAAAATTTGTGAAAAGTTTTAGCTCGAAAAAAAGCGTAGAGGCTAGGCAGGCCATGAATCTGTACGATTTTATACGATTTCGTACGTCCAACGCCTGCCTCCGCACAGACAAAGCACTAAAGGCATTTACATGCAGTTTGCCAGCACTGCACGGTCATCACATGGCAAATGTAATGTAGGCTATACAATGCAGCATGTTAGGTCTATAGATCACTGAAATAATAATACAAACAGGAGGAGAACTTTTCAAATCACTAGGTCTATTTAGACTTTTCCTTTATAACATTCATTTATTCACACATAGCATTTAAGTCGGATATCTGAGAAAAAAGGGCCGTGTGGAGGATGAGACGAAACGTCTCTATCTATCTCTCCTTTTGTTCTCTACCCTGGCCTCTTTTTCTCTGCCCCCCCCCCCTCACTCTCATTCTCTCTCTCTCTCTCTCTCTCTCTGGACGCATCAAAAATGTAAACAAATGGCTCAAAATAAAAATACCTTCCCCAACGCTTTCCTGTCAATTGCAGTAGAACCATAACCGTAACTCTCTCTGAAAGCTTCAACGACAGAGCAGCTGGACGCCATGACTGCCACCGGATCTCGGTACGTGTGGATGAAGACAGCATCAGGGTAAGCATCCAATATGGCCTCTAGGTATACGCTGTGAAGGGAATCTTTCAGAATCACGCGGCTGTTTTCGGGGGTTGAGTCTATGACAGAGACATAGACAACGACAGATAAATATACTAATTAAATAATCTATTAAATAAAAAAATGCCTGTGATGTAATTACAACTATACACACGACCCTTATTTTCAGCAGCGAGAAATATAAACGCCGATATTTTATATTTTCGAGAGGATTTTTATTGTTTTAAAACAGCAAAAAAAAAAAAAAAAAAAAAAAAAAAAAAAAAAGATGCATCATTGAATAAATACACGAGGGAAAAATCTCATTTTCGGTATCTAGAATGATAATTAAAGGGATAATAACTCTTCGTATGAGATTTAAATTTCACAATAAAAAACATTGTGAACAACTCACAGAAATATAATATATTCTGTTTTACGACAAAAACATAAGTTATAGCTATTATTCTGATATCTGAGCTTGTGTTTAGGCCTCGTGGCCTCCATTGATGGCTATACTCTGTTATAATCTCTTAAGAGATTATATATAAAAAAAACTTTTTAGAAAAAAAAAAATAGGGACTAACTTTATTAGCATGTAAAAATGGATTCATTAACCATTGGTTAGTATGGGAAAATTGTTGTTAACTCCAGGAAAATTCATTTTTTGGCCAAGACGAAGAGTTATTATCCCTTTAACGATCAAAATACCGTTAAGGACACTGTAACCCTTATTATCATCCAGAAAACGATAATGACTTTTTTCCTGCATCTAATAATTCAATAATGCATCTACTAGTACCTTTGTGCTGATTTAAAAGAATGAAAAATCCCTCGAATAATAAACCCCTGACATTGCACCGGCACAGACTGCATCGCTTAGGTAAAAACAGGTATATCATCTATGTGAAAAGGTTCTAAAACACCCCATAGTCTCACCTGAATCCCTGCTGAGAAATATCAACTGAAGCTGTTTCTTGTGCAGTTGATACATCTCCGCCATTTCGTCTTTGGTCCTTGCCAAGACCCAGTCCAAGTAACCGCTGTTATTTCTGGTAAAAACGAAGTATGATTTGAAAATGCCCGTGTTGTCAAGCAAACGAAAGCATTCATATGGTCCCTGGAGGTTGATGTTGTGTGCTGCCTTCAGAGAGGGGAGGTTCCGGTACACGGAGGCTGGAGAGAGGAGATAACAATATTGTTTATGAATATTATAATATATTATAATATATTATAATATAATAAATTACGTTAATTGAAGCCACTTGCATTATTAAGTGACCAAAGGGTCGCAGGCAGGGATCCAAGGGGTTCAGAAAAAAACGCCACTTTTGAGTTCAAAATCAAAATTTGTTTTATGTTTTGTGCCATTGCTCAAGGTGGGTCAATAAAGAGGATAAAAAGGTCGACTTTTTCTGATAAAGACCCCCAGTTAAAACTGATATCTACGGGACTGACTGATAACCTCAACACTACACTTAACCCCATTTTTTCTCTTTCGATTAGTACTAGTTGAAAATCGCAATACCTAGTTGGCGTTCGTATGTTCGAGTACGTAGATCCTCGTGTCCTAGCTTACTGGTGCTGCCCTCTATAACGGGGCACATCACTTCATAGTAGTACGGAGAGGTATTTCGTGGGTCCTGGTTCAGAAGGGCTTGCAAATATGTGGAACCAGTTCGTGCTGATCCAATGATGAAGATTGGTTTTGTGATTGGGCACTGTGGAATTGTTAAAAAAAAGACAAATGTGATATTATGATTTCAATTAACCAAGTGCAACAGTTGCTAAAGCCCCCTTTACACTGGACGGCGTCCTTTCTGCCTCCCTTAGTACGGTCCCGTTTGAGAGTTAAAAAAAAAACAACAAAAAATAAATAAAACTTCACGTGCCGACAACAGTTACTGGCCGGTCATTGAGTATTCAGTCTGCGACCATAGAGGTGCTTGTGCCTCCTTTTTACGACCACAGCGATGCCAGTTTCATGATCGCACAAAGGACGCAGAAAGGACGCCGTCCAGTGTACAGGGGGGTTAAAAGAAAGTTACTTCATTTTCATATCCACATGTACCTGTCAATTCTCTGAAATACAAGAGAAGAAATATTTGTTTTATTGCTTCGTGACGCTACTAGCTGCTGAGTATACTTGCACATGCATAAGTACTAGCATTATGACCCTTAACAAAATGAAACCTTTTATAACAAAAAACCTGATGAAGTTATTTGGACATCTACGTGTCTCATTTTTTCTACCTTTTTCAAATTTCACGCCACAAGACGAAGTGTCTCTCTTTGTGTTTTATCCATGCAGAACTCGTGTGTCGAATTTCTACCCTATCTGTTCATCATCCAGTGTTATTTCTCGTTTTACAATAAATAAATAAATAAATAAATAAATAAATAAAAAAATACCGTTTCACACACGTAAACGATCAATATATATAAACATATAACAGTACGTCACATGCACACGTACCTTGGTCAAGTCAACAGATGCCAAGCGCTTTGATATTGCCAAGCGATTTCGGAGAATCTCTGTCCATCTTGTTTCAATAACCTGCCTCCCAGCCAAGGTACACGTCTCATCTTCACGAAAACATTTCAAAAGTATGGTGAATCCTTCGTACCACCAGCGACGAGTTAGAGTTTCCGACAGCAAGAGACGACGGTCTTCTGGAGGGAATTTTTTTAACAGACTCTCCTCGGTAAGCGGGATGAGTCGCCTGCCTAGGAAAGTCTGGCAAAACCAATCAAGAAATAAAAGAAAGTACTGTCTGACCAACACGAAAATCCTATTAAAAGTCGTCATTTTTAAGGAGGGGTCACATCAAACGTAAGGATAATTGTACCAGGAAATAATTTTGGAAATCGGAGTGGCGGCGAATCCCTCAGCAACCGGCGGATGTTATAACAGTCACGTAGGCATCAAGTGCGGCTGATATGGAGAGCATTTCAAGACAAGGAATGCAAAGCGGACATTCACCGAGGTCAACGTCCTAAACGTGGCACACCGTCATTGGTCAGTAGCAAAATCTCACCTTTTTATGTATATGGAGTCCCCCGTTATCGCTGGTAGCTACTGGTGCACGCTGTTTCTTTGCATGGGGTGGGTGGGTGGATTGGGGGGGGGGGGTGATGAAGTTTGTGGTGACATTGCATTCCTCGCAGCTGGCAGCATCTCCTTTGAAAATTGGCGGAATGAAAGTTGGGTCGGGAGTTGAGTTGGACGCTGGTCATTTTGAGAGTGGCTGGTCTCATCCGATGTTAAGGTCTAACGGTATTAATTTATTTCAAACCCTGCAACGTTGTAATAACCTGCCGGTTCTGTTATTCAGGTTCTTTGATTCTTTTTCACCAATAAAACAACTGAGACAGGCAGGTATGGTTTCTGCTACATGAGTTATTCATGGAAGTTCATTTGAAATGTAAATTATGATAGAGTTTAAAAGTAGCGACTGAGTTACAGGGAGCGATATAGAGAGCCATATAATAGACTTATAGATGGACATAGTAAGATAGAGATATAGTTATAGATACCTGTAGAGAGATGGAGGAAGAGAGCAGAGACCCGAGTTGTACAGTCAATTGAATAAATCATATAGCAGAAACTATACCTGCCTGTTTCAGTTGTCTTATTGGTGAAAAAGAATAAAAAAAAAAACCTGAATAACCAAACCGGTAGGTTATTACAAATGAACTTCCTTACTGACATGCAACATGCCATGCCTATATACATTAACTTAATTGTAGATGCATTGAAATTATATCTTGATTTACATTTATGCATATCTCATATATGCAAATTTCGAAGACTATCAGTACAATTAATGGTTCACTACTCAGTACAGTTAATGGTTCACTAAGTTTTTTTTTAGTCAGTGAGCTATGTGGTTTTCGTGACACGCGCAAATGTTAGTTGCGTCCACTATCGCCTTGGTGTCAAATAATCTCTTTCAAGGGGAGCTCACGGCCCGGAACCGGAGGGGGGGAGGCTTCAAACGAATCACCACTTTTGTTGAGAAAAAGACCCCTCTGATGAAAATGTAATTAAATTAGAATTTTAATCAATGTACACGAAAGTTTCATGGTAAAAGATGCACTTTTTCCAGCACCCCCTCCCCCCCCCCTTTAAATTGGTGGTGTCTAACCTTTTTTAAAAACAGACAAATATACAATGCAGCCCCGTATTGTCCCGTCCTTGACTTCAGGTCTTTGATATACCGCTCCACATGCCCCAGACGATCTAGTTCAATAAGGTTACGACTTCTGATAAGGCACCTCAGATAAGAGAAAATATAGAAAAGTACCCCAAACAGTACTGAACTCATTGACCAATGGAGAGCCCATGCTCTCTTGATTTTCACTCTATCACGTGATCTATGGATCACTTATTAATACAGTTACACATATGTGATGCGCGAACGCATGCACCGCCGTGTGCGCAACACAAACAGAACGTATAATGTAGCTTGCTTTGGTAATGCTCTTTAAAAGGGGTCACAGACATGGGCCCGGGGTTTTATAAAAAAAATAAAAAAAAACTCTGAAGATTTATTGTAGAACCAAACACCTTATGTAAATTGTGGTAAAAGCTCATGTCTGGATCACTAAGCATACACAATTACCCTGAACACCTTCTGAATACAAAATTCTTTATTGTGAATATACATATGTCAGCTTTATAATATAAATAATATACAAATGTTTAAATCATAAAATAAGTTTGTGACAGTTTGTAGATCAGTATAAACTTTTATGTACCGTCACTTAATCAATTAAAAATACCGTTACACGCATACTAGTTATTGCACAGATGTTTTTTTTTTTTCAATTTAGTTATATAAGCGCTGTAACTTGTACTAGAAAATGACTTTGATTGTCTACGAAAACACGTTTAAATAATTAATTTCCTTTTTTTCCTAATTGAATTAATTTGTACAAAAGGAGACCGTTGATCATGAAGGTAAATTAAAATACATAATGTCTTAGATATGAAGTGATATAACAATTAAATAAGTTCAGTGGGCAGTTACTTTAAAAAATCAGAATAAAAGGTTATATGTAAAGAATCTAGCATGACACTGAAAAGTAAATGGGCAATTCCAGATAACAAAAATCGCATTAAAGATTCGCTTTCATCTTCCATTTACCCTCAGTTATTTTTCGTTCATCTTGATTGCGACCTCCGCTAGTGATGTCATTTTGACTTTTTTTCTTGCAGCTGAATTTTGCTGTTTCCAAAATCAATGAGTAAATTAATAACTTTTGTAGGTAAGAACCTGGAATTAAAAAAACAAATATGTTTAATGTGTACAAGTACATTTTTTAAATTTAAAAGTCAAATTTTGACAAAGAAAAAACTGACACTGAGAATGTGGGTTTCTAAAATTCTACACTTTTTCCTGAGAGAATAAGTTCATCCACTTGTCTCAGAATTGTTCTTTCTTTTTTTTTGTCTAAAATACCACCTAACTTGGCCTTATCTTTAACTTCTTTACAGATCAAGAAGGCTGACATCTATCACAATTTTAACTCAAGTGAGCTACACGTGCTTTCCAAGGACAAACTAATGAAAAATATTTTAAAAAGCAATAAAATGAATAATAATAAAAAAACACTCAGCGAGCACAAAGCTCCACCAAGGCAACTCAATTTTGATTACTTAACTTATTTATTAATAAGGGGATCATAAAAATATTTTTATTTAAAGTTACCCTATTTCTGACCCATCCAGACACTTGTATGAGAATCAGTCCAGAATGTTTTGAGTAAGGTCAGTTCCTAACAAACCAACTGACAGAAAAATAATCTATTTGGTAGATAATAACAATAAAAATATAATTATAATATATATTATTATAACAACACAATACTTACATTTTTAATCTTGCAGTGAAGTCACATTTTCTAGGCACAAAGACGTGTAATCTGTTTCTCAGAACTCCGCTGACTGTGGCTTTAGCCACTTGCTGTGGGGTTAATTGTTTTTCAAACCTGAATTAAAGAACAATTTATAACAAGTTATATATACATACATACCTATATACATACATACCTATATATATATACATACATACCTATATACATACATACCTATATATATATACATACATACCTATATACATACATACCTATATATATATACATACATACCTATATACATACATACCTATATATATACATACATACCTATATACATACATACCTATATATATACATACATATTTATACTGTATATGAAAGTTAATACATACTGGTGTAGTTCTTGACCCATGAATACAAAAACCACCCTTTTAGTCAAATGTAAAATGCAGCAAAATACTCAACTTTCTCTTTCTCTTACAGATTTAGAATATTTCAAGGTGAAAAACATTTTGCCCTCTTGCCTAGTATTCAACTTTTACAATACTTCACTCATCTATTTATCTTTTTATTTACAATTTATTGTTCAATCAAGCTGATCTATCAATTTATTTTACAGATAAAATAATGTATCTTTTATTAATTAATTTGTTTAGACACCTGCTGATTTAGAAATCTATTATCCACCTATCCATTTCTCTGTTCATTTTATATTTATTAATTCACTATATGTACTCACCTCTGATCAATTCCTGTTACCAGTCCTGTGTCCACAAACATGGGGAACACTGTCGTTGTTTTTATCTGTGTCTTCCCCAATCTCCTGATCTCCTCCGCCAAGGCCTCTGTGAAACCTCGGACGGCATACTTTGAGGTGCTACAGTGAAGGAAAAGTAATGCAGGTTTTATTAGCAGTATTAGTGATCCCAAGGAGATATACAGAGTTTTTCTGTTTTACCTTTTATAACCCTGATTCCTCTTCCTTTCTTCATCTCCCTCAAGGTAAAGAAAGAGAGATTGTGTGTGTGTGTATGTGTGTGTTATAGAGAGAGAGAGAGAGAGAGAGAGAGAGAGAGAGAGACAGGTGTGTTTGAGAGAGGTGGAAGACACAGGGAGATGTCCAGAATAAATAAATAAATAAACCCAACTGGACCCACCTGTAATCCACTAAGTAAGACGCCCCATAAAACCCAGACATTGATGATATAGTCACTATATGACCATGGTCAAATTCAAGCATTTTTGGTAGAAATTCCCTCACAGTCTGAAAAGTATCAAAATATTCAATGTTGCTATGTTAAAACATAATTAATTATCATAAGACAATATAAACCAGGTAACTTCAAAAAAACAAATTGTTTTGTAACAAATCAGTGAAAAGTCAAACTGACATGTCTAGTAGTACAAATAAAATAAAATGCTACAAAGTTAAAAGTTTTTGTCTTCAGCAAAATCAACTTAAAACTTCACCACCATAGACTGCAAGCAACATGAGACATTGTAAAAAATATAAAGCCGTTTTTCAAAGGAAAATAACAGAACAATTTCAATTTTTTTCATAAAAATTTTAATTGAATAACTGGGGTCCGCCATATAGATAAACGTCCCAATAAAATATTCGCCCCGATAGATACGTCTCTATACATACACGTCTCAACAGATTTACGTCTCGTTAAATTTACGTTCCGATAGATCCACCAACAGATTCCTATAAACCCACGTATCTTTAGATCCAGGTACCGCTAGATCCATCTATCTGACATCGTAATCGGCTAAAAGGCCCATATCAACTTGCGTTGTGAAATTTAGAATACATTTTTATGTTCTTTTTTGTTTTGTTTTGTTTAGAACACATTTACATGTAAATTCAGAACACTTTTTACGTGTTCGAATGTTACATTTTGAGAACACTTTAAACAGTGTTCTGACGCTAGAACAGTAATTAAGCGTTGTGAAATATAGAACACACTTTTGTTCTTTTTATGTTCTTTCACTGAGTATTGTGTGAAAACGATCTAGTAGAATAATATATTGCTGACTGCGTACTGCCGTTTTAAAGAAGTGCATTTTATGTACTGAGTAGTATACCAACCATTTCGAGCAATAGTGTACCTCTATCGGTATTTGGATCTAAAAATACGTGGATCTATAGGTATGCGGATTTAAAGGACGTGGGTTTATGAGGACGTCATATCTATAGGAACGCAAATATATAGGACAGCAGAAAAAAATCGGATCTATCGGTATTTAAATCTAAAAAGACGTTTTTTCCGTTTTTCCTTTATGTATCTATCGGTAACGGGAGTATAGGGACGTGTAATATTTTGGGACTAAATTTTATCCGTACGTACCCGAATAACTCAGTCTCAAGCAAATACAAAAGAAATACAAAATATAAAAATAGCCAATCCACTATCCACTTTAATAAAATTTTTTTTTCTGTTAAAAGAAAACAAAATTCTAGAGCAAACACAGAAAAATCAGGCTGAAAAGAGAGAGAGAGAGCAGAAATTTAAGCTTTTGCAAAAGAGAGGCTATCACCAACCCAAAAATGTGCCATAGTGTTAATCTCTATAGTCTTTCTTATTTGTTGATCAGTTAGTTGGAGGAGGTCTAACCCATGCAGTATTCCTGAAATGTAGATATATATAAGGAATTCTATGCTAAACTGTATTATTTTTCTGACATTCCACAGTACATGCATTTTAATTTTCTCATCAGTCAAAGATAGCTCTTCTGTAAATTTATTGTCTTGTGTAAAAAAATAATAATAATAATAAATAAATAAATAAAAAAGGTGCAATTGCAATGTAATAGAAATACAGTGTATGTCTGACATTTTATAGTGAATTGTTAGTTTTTCAAACATTCACAGTAACCCCTTTTAAATCACACACACAAAATACAATGAAGCAAAATAAAATGAAACCATTGCACCTTAATCACCATAAACGTATTCTTAGTGAAAACACATTTAATAATTAAAACATTTTGAACTGATGCAATGCTGTTCAAAATAATTTTTGTAAAAAATAGTAATAAAATGTTCTTCTTGAATGAAGCCTGATTATATAATATTTATTAGAATATGAAGTAGTAAGTCTACTGATATACCTGCATTGTTCACCAGTATTGTGACGTCTCCCACGTCCCTCCTCACCCTCTCAGCAACACGCTTTACGTCATCAGTGTTGCTAACGTCACACAGATACGCGTGAGCCGTGCCTCCTTGTTTGCGCACCTCATCAGCTGTAGCCTCATTTCCATCCTGATAATAATTGGTGCAAATTTATTTATAACATTAATAGGTCTGTGTGCTTGTCGTTTTTTCCTACAAGTTTTTTTTTTTTTTTAAGTTTAAATCGCTTAATTGCATAACCATTATGTACAGGTAGCAACCGCAGTTTAATTATCCAGGGCACAATTAATGTGCATGAAATGACTGGTATTTTTATTCTCATACAAAAACATGATTACAGTTTTATAACATTGCTCAGCCAGTATCACGTACATGCACTGCTACTCTTTTTAATTCCAGCTTCTACTCACTGCACGTGTCTCCAGTCCTCCCCCTGCGCCCCCCCCCCACACACACATCTACACACACCCACATACACACTAATACAGTTATATGCCCATGATTGATGTGCTATGCTACACACCCCAGAAAGTTCCATACAATACACTATACGGCAAACTATCAAACCAAGTTAAATATGTACCTTGTTTACGTCCCACAGCACCAAGGTGGCCCCGTAGCGGGCGAAGCTCAAGGCTAGTTCTCTCCCTATGCCGTGAGCAGATCCCGTCACTAAGACGATCTCCCCGCTGATATTCTTCTTTGGATACGGGACAATAAGGCGGAACCCGGCGTGGATGAACTCCCAGATCACTTTCAGTAAGAGGGTGACGACTTCCTTAAAGCTCGGGGCATCCATCTTGCAGCAGATCGTAGGAATTTAAAGTCCCGGTTAATCAGCAGATCAAGAACGCCTGATGCGGTACCAGGCTGTTGCCATTGACCTAGTTTTAAATGGGTCACAGGATAATTAGTTTACGAGTACTAAACTTCCATCTTTCAATACATCTTTTACATTACACTACGCGCACCTTAACACTTTATGTATGTATCCAATAAAAGCTATGAAATCCAAACAAAAAACAAACTCGATGAGACCGCTAAGAATTTTTTGCGTGTTTGCGTGCAAGTGCTTATTTATTAATTGTTCTTTTTCAGATTATCCAGTGCCTTGAGTATTCAAAACCCAGAGGATAAGATTGTTTTGGGTTTATTTTTAAAACATAGGCCCCTATTCTCACTGAAGTATACCCGATCCAAGTGAGATGACCCAAGTTGGAATGTAGTGGTTTGTGGAGGTACGACCATGTAATGCAGCCAGTTTCCTCTCTTCCTGCATATCTTACCTCCATTTCATAGAGAGCACACGTGTTGGAGAAGATGGGGAAGAGCAAAAAAGCCAGATTTGGCAGAGCAGAAGGGCGAAATGCTCCTCTCGGTGATCAAATGACGGAGGATAAGTCGGTTAGAGAGCCAGGACGAGAGAAGAAACGCGACAGAAAAGACAAAGATGACGAGGTAACCCGTGTAATGTAATGTGAGACCAGTGCTAAGTACACACATGTAAAATCTAAGTTAAATGCTTGTACACATAGACTACATGTGATCTGTATTTTGTTACTTAGTTGTATAGTAATTGGGACTAATTCTAGCTCTAGCACAGTGAGTTAAAGTTGATATTATATGTGATATAGTCATAGCCGTATTTGTTTCTCGTGACAGTTAAGACAGCGCAGAACGTCTGAAGATATTTAATTATGAATGAACAGACAATTTAGGGGCATTTCGTTTAGTTTGTAGATGACAAATTATCTAAGAAGATTTTGGAGCAGGCCAGGCTACAGCAGGAGGAAATGGAGGAGGAATATGGAGTCAGGTAATATTTTCTGCCCTTAACATTCCTATTTCTTAAATTATAATAATAATACTTATTATTATACATTAAAACAAATATTATATTAAATAATAACAAAAAAAAACAAACAAAAAAAAAAAAAAAAACAATGCCTTGATAGTTTCTCATAGTACAGCCAACTTCAGAGTAAAGTACCTGTTTTACCCCTGAGACAATGTTCTGTAAGAAATTGTCTGGTCTGTGCCTGCTAATTTATTGGGATAAAGTCTAACACCCCATTTACATAGATTTTTAGATCGATCTATCCCAGTGGGGAGTCTCACTAGATTACTGTCAGCTTGGCCGGCTTAAGCGTCTGTCCCGCCTACTAAAAGCTGTAAGGGGGTAATTAACTATGGTGCCCGCTCGGCTGACTGCAATTTAGCGTTAACCCCCAGGGAGTTAGGTCAATCTAAAACTTAATCTTTAGATCGATCTAAATCTCTGGGAAAGCACCCTAAGTTAACTATATGCTATATTCTTACTCTTCTTTATATCAATTTGATATGTGTATTTGTAATGTCTGGTCCCTCAAATTAGACGAAAGAAAGAGAAGCCTAAAAGCGTATCACTGGGTTCAGGGCCATCAAAGGCAGACTCCGATTCTGAAGATGATGACGACAGTTTGTCTGGGAATGAGGCAGAGTATGAACACGTGGTAAGTCATTGTACTGTGTTTATGTGACTTGTCATGTTAGTAATAAAGTTTTTAGCCAGGGAACCTAACTTAAGGTGAAACCGGGGCCTGACTTTTTTAATACTCGTCTCTTTTTTATGTAAAGTCTACTGAACATTTTAAATTAATTTTACATATGCAGTAAATCAATATCAATTCAATTACATTTTAGTTCACATCTTTAGTTCATATCTTACTATTTTAACCACCTAAAATTTATTTTAGTCATCTGATTCTGTTCATTTTACCCATGTTAAGTCTATTGAACATTTTATATATGGATTTTAGACTATAAATAAATATTATTATTATTAGTAGTAGTAGTAATATATTATTATTATTATTATTATTATTTTTATTATTATTATTGCAATTGTAGGAAGTTGCCCAGGAAGATGAGAGAGCTTTAGAGATGTTTATGTCCAGTAACCCTCCAGTGAAGAGAACTCTGGCTGACATAATTCAGGAGAAGATCACTGAGAAAAAGACGGAAGTCCAGTCCAAGATGTCAGGTAAATAGAGCTATGAATTTACTGGTTTCACTCAGCACAGTTTTGTCTAATACTATAACAATACCACCTAGCACAATATGCATTTATGGATTATGATATTTTATATTATACTAGCATGTGTAACATGCATGTTGACACTGTCTGAGGGCATTCACAACAGATGATCCTCCAATTTACTGATCTACGGATCAAATATGGGGGACCCTACATGAAAGCAGAGCCAACTAATCTGCTGATGGTGTCCCTGCTACAGCACTTGCCATTAAATGGATTAGTTCACAGCTCTGGTTTTATTGCTAGACCTCTGCAGGGATGACGCATGTGGAGGAGGGGATACTGTCAGAGGATTAATCTCTGCTTTAATGTAGGGTCAGCCATATTTGATCCGAGGATCATCTGTTGTGAATGCCCTCTTTGATGACTCTCCCCACTTATTCCATGCACTTTGATTAGGAATTTTCTTCTGCGTACAAAAAATGTCCCAACTCTTTTTTTAGCTCTAATGTGATCCACTTCATTTCAGTATTTTATACCCAATAAAATAAATAAATAAAATAATTATAAAATTTCAAGTAGAAGAAACAAACTGCAGTGTAGCCAATAAATAAACATCCAGTAACTTCCACATAAAAAAATCTTTTGAAAGCATAGGGAAGCCAATATGTGTGCATCAAGGGCCCTTGGTGAATTATAAAACATTGTTTTTTTTTCATATTTTCCAGATAATGCCAGCGTCAATTTACAAGAGCTAGATGAGAGAGTGGTGAACATGTACAAACAAATCAAGCAGGTGTTACAGAGATACAGGAGTGGCAAGCTGCCCAAAGCTTTCAAGATTGTCCCAGCACTGGCTAACTGGGAGCAGGTAATGTGCTGTGGCTGTGACATCATCACAACAAACACAATCACCTTTTACTGATTACAGGCACACCTAACACAATTGTGTGAAAAATAATAACAGTCAAGAAAAAGAAATCAAGAAAAAATAATTTTTCCTGGCAGTCATTAACAGTTTGCCAATTCATCATTTACATTCATCATTTACCTTAATATTGGTAATATCAGACATTTTATTCTGATTTAAATCTAATTTTTTGGGCAGTTCCCAGATTTAAGCATCCTTAAACCCCTACTTGTAAGACTACTGATCCATTTGTATCTACTTTTTCTTCTCACATCCCAAAATCTAGTGTGTGACATTTTCCCATATTATGATAATTTCTTCTCCAAAACAGATCCTATATGTCACTGAGCCAGAGACGTGGTCTGCAGCTGCCATGTATCAGGCCACAAGAATCTTTGCTTCCAATCTCAACGCTAAGATGGCGCAGAGGTTCTTCAATCTGGTCCTGTTGCCAAGGATACGGGACGATATTGCAGAGTACAAGCGGCTGAATTTCCATCTTTATATGGTAGGACTTGGGAATGATGTCATATTGAAATGCAAGTTGAAGAATATGACAGAATGTGAAATGATTTCTGTGTTATAAAAAAGTAAATTGTTTTCAAAGAGACAAAACAGTTTTTTGTGTCCCTGAATCTAATGGTTCAACCTTTCATCATAACCTGCAACTTGTGACTGACTCGTTTATGTGCCTCAGGTGAAAATAGTCATGTTAATGTCTAAAGAAATTATTAACTTTTTTTACCACCGTTATGCTAGTGACAAGAAAAGCCTGTTTTAGCAGTTTTCATTATAACCAAAAGTGGAGATGTAAGCTCATTATTGTTTCACACTGATTGTGAAGATGAAATATCAGACTTAGAAGAATGTATATAAATCGCCTAACTTTTTTGTCGGGAAGAATGCATTTAAAACCAGAGAAGTGTTACTTGATGCAGCTGCTTTATTTCCAGGCATTGAAGAAAGCTCTGTTCAAGCCAGCAGCATTTTTCAAAGGGATCTTATTACCATTGTGTGAGGTGAACATGAAATTTTACCTCTTAATATTTACAACTTTTTTTTTTGCAAGTGCCTATATTTGGTTTTTATTATAAGATTTACGTGAAGATTTCACCTGAAGTTCTGAAACTGCCCACACGTTTCCTGTAGTGAAAAGAAAAAAAAATAACACTTATTATGATAATAACACTTACTATAATAATGATTTGAATCAATTCCGAAAAAATGCTTCAGATTTTATATTTGTTTTTGAAATATTAAAAAGGCATATAAATTAATGAAAATGATTAAATAAAGAAACATATATGTAAAATATTATATTTATTTCTTAATATTTTGTTACATAAAGGCTGGTAACTGCACTCTTCGTGAAGCTATAATTCTGTCCAGTGTGTTGGGTAAGCACTCTATCCCCATGCTTCACTCTGCCGCCGCCATCTTGAAAATTGCCGAAATGGACTACAATGGCGCCAACAGTATTTTTCTAAGGACTCTTCTGGACAAGAAGTACGCCCTTCCTTATAGAGTGGTGGATGCCATGGTTTTTCATTTCTTAAGGTAATGTAAGAGATTTTATATGAGAAAATAAATGGTGTAAAATGGAAGAAAAAGAGGAAAGGAAGATGCAAAATTCAAATTTTGAACCGCTAATACATGTACATAATTTGGTAATTGCAATTTTCACGTAAAAGGGGATTTTAATCAGGAAAGGAAGTTCATGCACCTTTTTTATTTAGTCTTGTTTTCTAACGACACATTGCCGCCAACCTCATTTTAGGCTATCATGGTGGCTACCCATTGCCCTGAACTTGCAGCCCAAGAAGCAACTTTCTTAAATAAGTACACGTTCTTTAATTTCTATCCCAGGTTCAAGACAGATCAGCGAGAACTTCCGGTCCTCTGGCACCAGTGTTTCTTGACATTTGTACAGAGGTACAAACAGGATGTTTCTAGCGAACAGAAAGAAGGACTATTTGAACTGTTGCGTGTACACGTACACCACCAGATAACGCCGGAGATACGGAGAGAACTTCAGAACGCTAAATGTCGGGACGAGGAGACGGCGGAGCCAGGGAGGATGGATATGGGCGATGATGATCTTTAACTTTGGGAAGAAATGTTTATTTATTTATTTGTTTTCTTAATATTTTTATGTATTTTTTATATATCTACGTGTAAACTGAGTACTGAATCAATAGCAAGAACACTTGCTACTGTAGTAAAGACACATGTTTTTTATATTTATTTTGTAACTGTACAGATTGAAAAATGTACATGCGTAGTACATGTATGGAATGATTACTGTTCTTTTATTGTAAAACTGATACTTACTAACCAAATAATAATAATCAAAAGAATTGAATGAATACTCATCTTATACTAGCTGCAAACAAATCCATGCACAGGTACCGTTGTCCGTGTCGTCGCCGTTCAACATAAGCCCTTATTACTGCCAACGTAAACTGCTTTATTTTACTTTGAATTAGCTACGTAATTTTTTTGGTTAATTTTTTTATTCTAGAAGTAAGCATAATGGGATTATTTTAACAAAAATTATTATTATTATTAACCAAAGTATTTTCATTTATTAGAATTTTTATGTTGGCGTCGTTCACCCCACTAGTGCGAAACCATGTGTGTTTGATTGCCTTCCTTTTTCAGAAATCAGAAATCGATATTTTTTAAAGTCTATCATCTACTTTTTCAGTTGCTCTTATATTATATAATTGGAGGTGTACAAGGTGGGGTATGTGAATTCCGTATGAAGGGCGCAAGCCAACTACAATTCAAAACAAACACCGGGTTACGAACCAAAGAGAACGCGAATTCAAGAAAAAAAAACGATTATTTTAGCAATGTTTCGAGTAGGAGTAGGGGGTCTCAAATTCTGACAGAAAAGAGATACAGCAAGTTATTGGACTTAAATTGTCCATCCTACAATAAAGTTAAAAAGTTATAACAATATTCACTGCAAACACGTGGGGCAGCGTACAGCAATAAAGTAATCAGTTTGCTGGGGTCAGCTTGCATATGTCCGGTTAATGATGGACGCAAGAACATTTTGGTATCCTAAAACGCTTACTTCACTGTCCAGGGGCACCGTACTGGCTGTACATACCAGAATCGTCAATAGGAGTGCTAACGCATGAATTTTCGTGCTAAGGGGCACCGGTGCAAAGCTGTGCTATTTTTGTTACTTTAATAGGATACGTCACAGCATCACCCCCCCCCCCTTCCGCCCTTGAATTTCCATGTCTATTAGGGACAAGCACTGTCTCTGTCGTCACCTCATGCTTTCCTGGATTTTTATCTGCAAACACAGTCAAACACAATCAAATAATAATTATACTAACACACGTTTTATTGATTCAGAAGATTAAAAACTGTTGGAAAATCGAACATCAACCGATTGCTTTTTTGTTTCTTAGTGTGTGTGGGTGTGCGTTTGTAAATTTTTGCCATTTTTCACAATTTGACATTTTTCAGGTGTGACTGAGGTGCGTCCATAGATTGTGTTGTCTCAAGGTTAATTCTATAAGTTTTGACATGTATGTCTGTTCATTTGAAGGCTTTGGTTCCTTGCCTGTAAAAATTGCCTCGGTGTTTTATCATCATTTTCATTTGTTGGTGTATGTATGTTGTATTTAGCCGCTTTGCTGCCTAGATTTGAACCGTCGGTTCTAAACTGTAAAGGTGATAAAAACCGGTTATTTTGTGCTTATAAGTGTACCAGTAGTCTACCCGTTCTATCGACGAAATCTCACTTAAGACGTTATACCTGAGATCAACAAAAACGGTTTTTCACTTTAGTGAACAAATATATAAACATTTTTTCTTTTGAAAACCCCGTCTTGAATGAGGCACTGCACCGAGGGTGCTACTATTGCACTTCGCGGAAGTAACGAAAATGCGCATGCGTTTTTCTGTTTTCAAAAACGAGACAAATGAAATGACACCGGGTGGATTATTATGTGTTGACTGCAGAAAGCGCTCACGTCTCAACATGGCTTCTATTGGTCAAAGCTTGGTTGTCCTCCTGTGTTTTGTTCAGCCAGGTAAATTACATGTGTTTGCGAACATTCATGCTACGTGTACGTATGTATGTAGGCGTAATGATTTTGTCTTTAAATCGTACACGTATGATAGAAAGTTGAATTGAAGAGGCGCAACTGATCCATGGATGTTTTGCACAACCAACCAGTTGTATTTACATTTCAAGAGTATTTAAGAAGCGTTGTCTATTATTTGATCCTCCTTTTCTCAAACTTAAACTTGAGGGTTAAGCGTAAGAGCGAGAGTCTTTCATGTTAATCTAACTTTATCAAGTTTTCGAAACTAGGAACAGCCATTCAGTGTCTTCTCTGCCAGTCATTTGGTTACAACTTGGACTCCTTTTCACAAAACCTTTACCAGAACTATGACCGGCGGTGTGAGGATAACCCTTCTGCGGCGACAAGCTTTGGAGAGTGCAGTGGATCCTGCTATTATCTGAGGGTTTCCCAGTCCTTAACAAAGACAGTAAGTCTGAGTGTCTCTGGTGTGGCAGTGAGTTTCTGGGGAAGAGCTGAGGAGGTGAAGTCAGTCTGTTCTGGTTTTGCTCTCTCTCCAGGGCCGTAGCCTCCGGGGGGGGGGGGGGGGGGG